AATATGATTGTGTCAAGAATTTGGGATGCGGTATGAAGATTAAGTTTATTAAGAACTGTCGTGTCTGCTTCCGAATACTAGAAAACGCCTGAAGGGCCTTCTCTTTTATATTAGTTATCATTGTCGATTTAAGGTGGCTTATAACAGTTTTCCGATGACACCATTGTCTTTTCAAACTTGGACATTTTTTACAACTAAAGGCATTCACTGGACGGAATTGATGTAATTAAGCTTGTAAAAACATTTTTAATGCGTAGTATAACGCGAAATATAGTGGCCAAGCACCCAAAAACAGGACTGGAAACTAGATCTGGGCTGGATCGGAAGGCAATGTAATAAGATGACAAGAAACCCAAGACACAAGCAATGCCAAAAATTCAGAGGGCAGTCGCAGCGCAGCGCTGGACTTTCTCTACTTCATCAATCGCTAACAGAGGTGTAGCGCTCTATTAAACTTGCTGAATGGAGAGCTCGCCTTCAGTTTGAACACGTAATAGTCTCTACATGAGTCAATCAGGTGGGTATAGAGCGGGCAAGCCAATATTCCTATTGTATAAGAGAGACGCCCACTACATATGGAGGAACTCACTTATTTTGTTTGCTGGAACTTACTTTTTTAACTGGTTATAATAATGGGTGATGTCATGAACGAGTATTGTAGGAGCTGTTCGGAAGGTCTTTCATAATTGGTTGCGGGAAACAAAGATATGTCATTCTTTTGGGTCAGGGTTAGGCACCACTGGACCCTCTTGAACTACATCTTTGCGCATGTTAATACTAGGGAACCCACCAACAGGGCTTGTCTTTCAACATAGTACACCACTCTAGCCGAACAATACTACCAAGTGTGGAATAGCTGAACTTTTATAGCCCGAAAGTGCCTCAAATCTCAACCAATAGATACAGTTCTACCATAATATACCTAAGGATCAAAGGCTTTGATATAGACAGGGAAAAGTGATTTAAAGGTGGCTTCGATAACGTCTTTTCGTATGGTGTGATTTCTTATTCTTACATTTCTTCACCTTTGGTCGAGTTAACGTACTTCTTCATACCTAAAGCTTCATCGTGCCATGTCCGCTTTAATTTTGAGTATTAGGCGGTTCTGGGCGAAAGGGGGAAGAGATAAGGTTGCGAAGGCCTGATACTCAGTCTAAGTCGGCTGAATTATATACTGGTCTGTCAACATACAAGAACAACAACAACAATAAGCTTTATTTTCACAGCCATAAAACGTCTCAGCTTAAACAGAACTCCATCAGTCAGAAACAGAGCTAAACAGAAACAGAAACTCCAAACTTTTTATTCAAAACGTTTTTATATCCTAGAAAGCCAGTTCAAATTTTTAGTTTTTATTACCAATATTTCGTGAAATGAGGTTTTTAAAATTACCTTGACGCGTGACTTCTGTCATATATTTTACTGACGTCAAAGGTGAATTTGCACTTCTTTCATAACTCCTTTTACTTAAATGACCAATTCAAATCACTCAGAAACCCTCTTCAACCTCTTCTTCCCACAATAAAGAATTACGGGGAATTGACTGAAATGAGTGACGTCACACACAACAGAGCTTCAAGTTTCTCTCTTCGACTTTTCGTCAGAGACAGCTCTCAATCACCGACACTGACCAAAAGGATCCAGTCGAAACTGTGGGGACGAGAATACTGCTCGGCCCTTAACATGAAACATTGCAATCGTTACTTTGAACAGTCTTTCAT